TGGTGATGGATTAGTGTGAACAGCTGAAAGCAGTCGGCCATGGCAGCGTCTCTTGAAGTTATCGGCCTATTTCAAGCACGGGGGAGCCTGGACGAACAGTATAAAGTTCTACTCGGTATATAAAGTTAGTCCCTTTGCTTTTCTTAGAGCAAACCAGCAGGCCGCCTCCTACAGGAGGACGTCCCTACATGCTGATCCATCCCTACCTCTCTGCCACTGAAGCAGAGTGACCCAGGTGGTTCTGAGGCCGTTCACCAGGAGAGCAGCACCCACAAACGGAGCGCTGCCGCTGTAATGGAGCGGTTTTACACACCAGGAGGCAGCAGGACGGTGCCGGCCACGAGGCCAGCTCCGACTGGGACGCAGTCCCTGCTGTGTCTGCTGGCTCTGACTAAACAGAAGCCTGTCTTTTTAAGCAGCGTTGCAGCACTCATGAAGGTAACCGATGCCGCCGCCGACTATATTTAACTGAAGCTCGCTGAAATGTTTCTGTCTGCTGGGGATGTGGGTCGACCTGCTTTCTGCATGTGATGCCGAGGCGTTCAATCATTAACAAGAGAACCTTTCACTCCCACCAACCGCTTCAGGCCGGAGATTAAACCACTTCAGTTCCCGAGCCACTGGCACCGGAGAACATGCACTTTGGTTTTGTCTCACTTTTGGAAATAAATGTGATTGGAAAGTATTTCTGTTTCAGTCTGAAAACAAGTCCCGCTTGACCACAGGAGGCTTTTTGCACAATTTCTTCTGCTTTAGATGGAAAAATGAAGATCATTTTCTAATGTTAGGATAGCAAATCAATGACATGAAGCATTTTCACTGTCTTTAATTTCGTACAGTTTATTTATAAAGTGGCGATTCACAAGTCATTCAAAAAATGTATTTCAATCTTATCTTACATCATAACCTGTATGAGATTCTTCTGGTATCGTTACCACAAGTAAAAACAGCCCAATTTTTCTGTATTAATGCAGAGAAAAGGACAAGCAGTGGATCCCCGCCCAGTCACTGCTTCTTCTGTGAAATGTAACAACAAATCATTTGTAGAAAATCCACCTATTTGAGGATTTTTTAAATATATATCTATACATAAAAAAAATGCATAATGGGAGGTTGAAATATCAAGACACATGACATATGCTTGGCAGAATGAACTGAACAACAATATTTTGACAAAACAACCAAAGTGGTTTCCAGTTCATCCTGAGGGCCACAAACACTCAGGCCTCATTTTTGGAGGCCTGAGGCGGGGGAATGTTCTACAAACATGTCTTAGTGTTTGTAGAGAAACTTGTTTTGTGCTCATCTCAGTCTGTAACAAGCTTCCAACAGGAAGTGAATTATAGGAACAGATGGATGAAAATTAAGGTGCTGAACCAACCAGCTAACTAAAAAATTTGCTGGACTAACAAACATTAGCGCAACATGCTACAACCAGTAATTTAATGGTAGCTAATGCTAAAGCACCAAAGCAACTTCAATTCAAGTCACATCTGCCCTTGAAAGACTACAATCTTCAAACACCACCTGAATTTTGACCTAATTTACTTGTTATATGATATTACGATAATATCTTGTTCTTCTCTGTCTTTTTAATTTTATTCCTGTATGTTTCCTGTTGGAAATAATTATTAGCAAAAAAAAAAAAAGAGGGAATGTGAGGTGAAGAAACGGACTGATGCTTCTGATAAGGAATATCTAATTACTTCAAGAATTATTAACAGTTGATTACCAAAACCTCAACACAGACGTCAAACTCGATCCACTGAAAGTTCACAAAATAGCTAGCTAGTAACTTGATCAGTGGTTTAAAAATTATTTGGGAAAACCTAAAAAGCCAGCTCTGCTATTATCGGGTTATAGCTGAGCTAATCTGGAATCGTGCCCACCACTGCTAGCTGTTATGGTTTTATTTTGCAGAGATGCTGTCGATTGTTGTGCAAATTTCTTGTCCAAAGCAAATAGTTTACCATGCAGCTGATGTAACTGTTGCAGAATGAGTGTTTTTAAGACCTGAACGAATCTTGTGTGTCATCCCTAAAAGTATCTAGAGACTGGAATATCAAGCCTTTCGTCTGTCTTTAATCTTTGATTCTCTCGTCTTTATCCTGGAATTGTTTGAAATTACTGGAACCCGGTCTTCAACCGCCTGCCAGGCTGGGCTTCTGCCATACACCAGAACTTAGTGGGTTCAACTCTGGTTGACCTCCATGGTGCCAAAAACTCTGAATGTCATTTAGAAATCGGTGCCAGCATCATGGAAGACCAGCAGCTTGTCATCTGTGGGGGGTTGGTGGCCACCAGAGAGGGTTGCTAGTCCCATTCCTGTGCCGTTTTGATCCTTGTGCGTTCTGCAGGGACTCAGAGAAACAAAAGCAGCCGCAGAGAATAAAACTGTGCTGTCTTTTTGTGCTCGCTTCTCCTCTGGGACCAGAACAAGCACAGCCCTCCAAGGATCCCAGTTTGATGTTGAATGGGGTTTATTTTGCAGACTGTGAAGGAGGCGGGGGAATGTGAATTTTCCAATTCCCCCCTCCAAGGTTTATGTAGTGAATAAAGCTTTGTTGAACTTCCCCAGTTTACTGTGGAAATACTGCGCTCTGGAGTCTTCTGTTTACACGTGTGACGTAGGTGAGCGCAGCAGCAAGGAGTGAGCACTCTGATCAAAACACCACCAATTGTAGTGGAAGTGGGAGATGGAAGCCCTCAGGGTGCTTGAGGAAGAAGAAGAAACCTTAAAATGAGAGAACAGGAGACACCAACTCTCAGAGGCGGGAAAGAGAAGGGAGGCTGAGAGGATGAAAATAAGAGGATATGAGGAGCTTGTTTGACTGCTGTCATACAGAATGAAGGGGATAATTACCAGCTTTAAAGGAAAACACTTCTGTATTGCTGAAGTTAATCTATATGAGGAGAGGACTTGCTTCTTCTGCTGCCCTGTAGGTTGACAGACAGCATCTCTCTCACCATGCCAAAGCCTTTTATTGATGCTGTTTGAACTAAGTGCGCCACACAGTTCTCTCTGAAAAATATCTTTGTTATATTTGTGAATCACATAGTTTTCATATAAAGTTGGAGTCTGACATTGGAACCATGGGTGCATGCTATCCTCTTATCCATTGTCTAAACTCACTTGTCCTTGAAGGTTTACACAGGGGTCAATTGGCCCCATGGACAGGTCCCCAGCGTTGTCAGGGCATCAGAGACTTGCTCAAGTCCATAAACCTAATTTTCATCCAGTTTGGTTAAAAATGGATCACCTTTCCTTCTTTCCTGGCTCGATCTGACCGAACCCAGAAACTAAGCATTTTCTGGATTTCAGAGCATCCTGGAAAATGAGAGAAACCTCTAATTTGTCTAAATCTGTCAACATCTTCTTGACAGAGAACTGGTCTCTCCGCAATCTGCAGAAGCCAGACGTCAAAAGCCAAAGTTGATTCATGTCGCAGCCAACAGAAATCAAGGTAATCAGAGCGTCTGTGATCTCACTAATCATCCAGCAGAGCCTGAAGGGTGTCTGGCAGAGGGAACGACGCCGCTGCCGTCATCTTCTGCGCTTCAGAACGCTGGGCTTTGGAGCGGCGCTCAGAGCAGGGCTTGATTTACGTGCACATTAAAGCAGATGTTGCGCGGGAGGACGTGTGGAATTGTAGCCCTGCCAGTAAAGGTTTTAATTATGGCTCTTTTGTTGTGAATGTTGAACTGCTCCCAGGGGTCTTCTGCTCCCTCCCACTCCAGTTAGAAGCTAACTGCTCCCAGATTACAGGTTGAGATTGGGGGTAAATGCTGGGGCTGCAGCTGCTCATCATGCAGGTCCACCCCCCGCCCCAGCTCTTATGTAAGCAGCAGATGGCCATGGTTAGATTTTCTAATATTGCTATATTTTTTGAAAGAAACACATTCTGTCAGTTTTAGCTTTAAACATTAAGAAAGAAATGCACCTAAAACATTTGGTCTCTTGTGCATACAGTGCTGTCAAGAAGTCCATCTAGGAAACACTTCGCCCAGGCTCTGACAGATGCGGATATGTTGAGGTCAGAGGTCACCGTGTGGGTGCACAGACCACACAGTGACAGCTGAAAAACACTCTGACCCCTGAAACATCAGCTGTGAGATAGGCCTCTGTTATTTCAGGAGGGGCAACTGTTTCATTTCATGGTCAGAGATTTCACTTTTTGTGACTCGCATGCACAGATGAAGAACCTTAACATCACACAGCAGCGCTCTGGTTACAAATTAATGATAGACGGAGGCGTTTATGGATCGATTTTCAAGTTATTCGGCAATGGGATCCGACAATATCGTCACAAGATCATAAGAAGATGAAGGAAGCTAAGAAAAATGAAAAATGAACCTCTGGCCTTCAGAGGAACATTGACTGCAATGTTTGTAGGAATGTCTCTTTGGATGTGTAATCAGAGCCCAGGGATTGTGTTATGATGTGCTTCACTGACACAAAATTCCTTCATAATTTCATGCAATTTTCAGCCATTGTTTACGCCTAGCTCCTGCCGGTGCAGAATCATGACGCGTCTCACTTTGGTGTAAAAGTCAACATGACTGTTCAGCCTGCTATGAAAAAGTCAAAAAGGGAGGAAAGAATCTGGGTCATCTTTCATACAGAGGTATGAATGTAGCCTTAGACCACTTTGTGCTGTCAGAGCTTCTCATGAAGGGATTTTTGACAGACAGAACTTTGGCTTGAGTCACTTTGTGATACGGAACAAAATAAATGTTTCATTTGTTAATTCATGAGTCATCAGGGCGTCAGTTATACTGCCTCTTTAAATTCATAAAAAGAAAGTAATTTGACCTTAAGTGCATTAATAACAAGTCAAGGCAGGACTATTTAATCATATATATGTTTTTTATTTTGAGATTCTGTCAGTGACTGAGTCTTTTTGCTTGAGTTTAGACCCAATTTTAGGAACACTGTTTAAGATTAAAACCACAAGGGTTTGGCTTCTTCCTTATCCGTCTGTGTTTGGCTCCCTCCACAGGAGAGGCAGCGACTGGAGACCATCCTGACCCTCTGCGCCGAGTACAACAAAGGTGAGAGCGTGGGGCTGGATCCCCTGGGCTCAGGACAGCTGGGTTTCCCTGGGAGTCTGGGTGACTTCTCAGGGCGGAGGCCGTCCCTGGAGAATCTTCTGGGAGGAACCCCAACGTCGCCGGCTGCCCTCCGCCTGGCGCAGAGACAGAGGGAGAGCGACGAGGAGAACCTGAAGGAGGAATGCAGCAGCACCGAGAGCACCCATCAGGAGGTGAGGACCTCTCCTGCCCCCAGCAGAGTGTCAGCGGTCCACAATGGAGAGCCACAGGTCAGAGGGCATGCTCCTTTCCCAACACACACTCTCCCTCTGCATGCTGCTGATGCGTTGCCGTGGTTGCTGCATCTGCATGGCTCTGCTGGAACCAGCTTTGCTGCTGTTACAGTTACAGAACTCAGCTAAGCAATTAGAACCAGCTCTGTTTTCAGGTGGTCAGTTTATCATAGTTACAGGTAATTAATTACACTAATTAGGAATTTTCCGGTTGGTTTCACATGGCTATTGTTCTTTGAAAAGATTGAAACCGATTCCATCAGAACCTCTGTGTGTATGATGTTACACCCCCCCCCCCCACCCCCCCCCACCCCCCCACACACACACACACACAGATAGATAGATACCCTTTCCATATCTTTGCAAAAAACAACCTCCCTGTTGACTTCCCCACTGCTTCAGTTAAAACCCCCAGAATTCTTTGCTGCATCACTACCACTGTCACATGACCAACCTTCTTCTGCCCCCCTCTAGAAACAAACTGCAGCAATATGGAAATTAATATTTGTTGATAATATTGGTCCAGTTTTATTTATCAGACTGATTCTAATATGACTAAATGAAGGCCAGGACTTGAAAGCATTCCTTTTGATTAAATAATAACTGAATCGATTGATAACGATGTTAGTTCTGATGTATCGTGTATCGCTACTGCTTTCTATTATATTTCAGTATATTAACACTCCGCATATTAATGATACATTTGGCCAGCTGAATGGACTCACACTCCTGATGTAAGTGTTGTTGACTAAAGTCCGAAGGCACTAAATAATTAGAAGTTCAGAATTAGTCTGCTCTAGAAAACTAGGTCTTGGCCCGGCTGCAGGCTTGGTTCTGTTGCCGTAGGAACATATTCTGCCTGTGGTCGGTCTCGTATGTGGCTCATTAATCACACACCTGCTTTCATACATTTACACATGGCTATTGTTCTTTTCATGTGGTTGATGAAACATTACATCTTCTGTTAGAAACTGAATGGAGGCTGGTGCTGCACAGTACAATTAAAGGGTACAGTACTGCAGTGTCAGTGTGTGAAACATTCACATTGCTTTCTTTCAAACCTGAAATACATTTTAGAAAGAAATGGCTTTCCTCTCTCTGTCCAAGCAGTGTAATTCTCCTAGAGGTCTTGGTTTGTGGTATTTCAAGTGTCCATTTTCAAGAGATTTGTCTCAGTTTGTCTCAATTTCTTTTAACAACTTAATTGAAGTCAATGAATCATCCTTTCTATGAAGGTTGAATCAGATTCCACTGAAGCTTTTGCTACTTCTTGATTGGTTTTATTCCTGTTGGACTAAGTTCACCGTCTCTCTCCTGTGCAGCATGAGGACTCGTCTGGCTCAGGCAGCGCGGGCCGTTCAGAGCTGACTTACCTGGAAGATGAGAGGACCCGCGTTCTGGCCCGGACTGATGAACTCAAAGCCCGACTCACCGAGCTGGAGCAGCAACTCCAGGAGTCCGAACAAGAGGTGCAGCCCGGCGTTGACGGCGGTGGAAATGAGCCGAGGCTCAGAATGATCCGTCTCATGGTGGTGCCGTGTGAGTCTGAGTATGCTGAAACCCTTGCAGGCGGAGATGGAGCGCGCCCTGCTGCAGGGCGAGACGCAGGCCGAGCTCGACCAGATAGAGGCTGAGACGGACGTCGTCAGTCAGCTGCAGCGCAAGCTGGAGGAGCTGGAGAGCGCCATCCAGAGGGAGAAGGACAAGGTACACACAGCAGGAACCTGAGCCGTCAGGATTTCCAGCTGATAGGCTGGTTTGGCAAAGAAAAAAGTCAAGTTCACCATTTCTGCTGCTTCAGTCTCTGAGCAGCCTTTGCATTCACATCTGGTCCATAGCTGTGTTTCTGCTTCATGCCCTGATTGGCAGTGCACAGCAACAGGTTAGGGACGGGCCTTACTTTGATCCATTAGACTGGGTGAAATTTAAAACTTCAGGATTCTGTGCTGGCCAATGCTGGAGGTTGGATTGTGGTTTCGCTTCCAAATTGCATAATTAGTATTTAAAAGTCAGTAATATGTCCAGCTATTTTTTTCTTTCTGTCTCATTAATCCTTCCCAAATATCCATATATTCTTCCTGTGTGTGTGTGTGTCTTCCTAGGAGAGGGCAAATGTTGAAGCCGAGCGGCGGGCCCTGCAGAGGATCCAGGAAGGCTATGCTGAGCTGAAGAACCAGCTTCATAACTGTCCAGAGTCCCTGAGGGAACAGTTGCAGGAACAGCTCAAAAGGGTGCGTCTTCCCTTTCCCCCACTTTCCACCAGTCATCAGAGGTTGTAGCCTTTTTGTATTAACAAGTTGAGCTAAAACATTAGATGTGACATTATCTGTCCAGGGAGTCCTCAGTTGCTCAGCACTGTGTTCAAACAGGCTCTTTTTACAAGGTGGGACCAGGGATCACGTTTGTTTTACTGTTACATGCTTGTGCCCAATATGAACTGCAGCGTTCAAATTCAGATTTTACAAATCCATAATTAATAATGTCATCCAAACTTTCTTTCTCAATATTAACCTGCAGTTGATAACTACGGCCGCCTTCAAGCTGTTTCAGGCTAAAATTGTAAATAAGAAATCCTTCTTTATGTTGTAGTCGGTGAAATAAAGGTTCAACTAACAAAACCTATAATATTATCAGCATCTTAAATGTTTGGGTTTTATTAGTCTAAGGCTAGGGTTAGGATTAATGCAAATGCAACTAACTTTTTAGCTAGCAGTTCTCTTATTTGGTAGCTGTTTTTACGCTACTAAATAAGAGATCAATTCACATCATCACAAGATCCCATGATACAAGAACTCTTTTCATCTGTATTCTCTCTGTCCTGTTCATCTCTGCCTAAAATGTTGTAAAACCTAAGCTGGGGGAAATGACTTTAAACCAAAGAACTCATCATCTAGATATACACATCTGATTTCCTGCTGGTTAAGAGTAACTTTGCGAAACCTCATCACACGTGTTGTGTAGCAGCTAGCTGCAGGAAACGTTACCTCCCCTCACAATGCAGCCAATCATCTCGGCTGCTGTCGATGCCATCGCTAAAGCTGAGACCGTAATAGAGTAACATGAGTTCTGTGTCAGACCCCTTCTGTGTTTTTACTGTTTTCAACCCAAAGCTGCTTTCATGGAAATTATGTCATTGCCTGGTTCATATCGATTCTGCTTCATTTGGTTTAATGCATCCACAGGGAGAGAACAGAGCGATGGAAAGAGTAGAAATGCCAAACAGGATAAACAGAAGCTGAGCCTGAAAAGCCTAAACTTCTTTGTTCGGTGTTAGGGTTGTTGTTTTTTTCTATTATTTCTTTATTTTGAACTCCCGTTAAATGGGTCAGTTGTGAATTAACATTCTGGGCCGTCTAGGCTGCAGTCTCAAGAGGCTTGGTCATAAAATTTTATTCTGTCTCCAATTCAGCTTCTGTAAAGCAGCAGAAAAACATTTTACTGCTTACATAGATTTGTGCTAAAGATCAGCTTCATACATTCTTTCTAACAGTGAATCACTTCATTTCAAATAAAGCTCTGCTTTTTATGCTGTAGATTTACTCTCCCATGTTAATAGGCTGGCTTTCAACTAATTCTTCATTATGGTTGAGTTGGTTTTAATTGTTGATCTAAAATGAGCTTATTTTACAATTTGGCAAAAAAAAAAAGAAGGGGTAAAATGCAATGAGTTGACTAATTTTTGCATGTCTTTGTGCTGCAGCAGAATCTTTGTTTTCACTCCAAAATGATTCAATATACACACAAATTCAAGTCATTGGCAATCACTTGAGCTCAAATCATCATTCCTCAAACACAAAGCTTGAAAGCCAGTGTTTTAGTTTGTTTGGCTGAGAACTGCTGCTGGTTTCATTAAAAGTGGAGTTGGTTCCTGAGAGTCCTGGATCAAGGGTGGGCAACGTGCTGTCGCATGTTTGTTCCAATCACAATGTTCTGATGGGCTCAATTAGGACGGAGAGGCATTGGAAGCAGGGACCAAGAAGTTTGAGGATCTGGAGTTCCAGCAGCTGGAGAGAGAGAGCAGCCTGGAGGAGGAAAGGGAGACGCTCAGCCAGCAGCTCCTTCAGGAGAAGGCAGAGTACCACCGCAGCATGGCCAAGAGGAAGGTGAGGACGTTTAACAGGCACTGCCTTCAAACCAGTGAAACAACACAGCAGTAGCTGTGGCTCCATCCTGTTGTCATGCAAATTTTTTTCAGAACTTTTGAAACGTTGCAAATAAAAAAAAAGAAAATACAAATTAGAAGTATTTTTCTGTTGGTTTGGAGTGAATCAAAGCAACAGGCTAAGTGAAGTATCATTTCAGCAGATGTTGACGCCATGCATGGCTGTAATCAACATGATGCCAGAGTTTCAAAGTAGCATGAAGCACACATCTTAGAACAAATTTCAACTTTGGAAGCTTAGACTTAGAAAGGTTCAGATTTCTGTGCCTCTGTTCAGACCCATCATTATTCGACAAATGTGTTTCTATCTCCACTTTTGCGCTTTAACTCTTTTCCAGAAGAGCTGAAAACCACCTAAAGGTTTGTTTTTTTTTACTAACCATTCTTACCACTCTTTTTTTTTTTACATTTATTTTACAAAGTTAATACTAATTCTGCTGTTGCCATCAACAATTTCTATTGGATCTCTTCAAATAAAAAAAAATGCTGATGAAAACATGAGTACCTCCTATGTTCGGCTGACAAATGACTGCGGTTGCATTCAGAGTCAAAAAACCTTCACCCTGAGCATTGGGCTGTTGTTTTCCCCTGTGCAGGAAAAGGTTTCTGCTCTGGAGAAGCAGGCCAGCCAGCTTGGTCAACAGGCTTCCCAGGAGTGTGAGCGGCTGGCCAAGGACCGGACGCTCATGCTGCAAATGCTCCAAAAGGTACTGAAGATAACAAAAGAAAACGCTGCCTCCCCTAAAGTCTGAGAATCTCAGAAAAAAATGTGTCAGTACTTTCCAAATTCTGTCTGTATTCCAGGAGAAGGAGCGACTGTTGGCTCTAGAGAAGAGGTACCACACCCTGACCGGAGGAAAGAGCTTCCCCAAGTCTTCCTCTGCCATGAGAGAGGTGAGTGAAAGAATGAAGATTAGCTTCCCACGCCACGCTCATTTCACCATCATCTCACTCAGATCTGACCCTTGACTGTAGACTAGCATGAAGTCTGCAATAACTGTTTGGATCTAATGCAACTTCTGGGAGCAAGTCATAGGTTTTTCAGCTGATTCTTGCTTTAATTGCGAATGATTTATTGAGTATTACATGAATTAGTTCAATGGAAACATGTTGTTGAAACTCCAGTCACCTGAAGAGTCCCAAACCTTGACTGTGGTCAATAAAAGCACCTTCCCCTGACCTGTCCAAACAGGAGGCTCTCCATATCAGCGAGGCTGAGCTGTTGCTGGGGGATGTCTGGTCCTCTCAGACCTCCCTGTGTGGAGTCTCTCCTTCCTTCTTACATCCTCCCCCCCTCTGTCGGTTGTTCCCCAGCAGCCCCACAGAGGTAACTGACCTGCTGACCCCCGCATGATGCCTGCTGCTCCCTCCACTGCTGTGGTGTGTTCCTCACCCATCATCAGGCAGCGGCCTGTATTGTGAAGTAGGGTCAGCTCATTTAAAGCTACATCTCAGTTATGTGCTTACTAAACCAGGGTGTCCACACATTCTTAAAAATGTTAATGTATCTCAAATTTAGGCCTTGAAATGTCTTAAGCTCATTTGAAAAAACCAGTTGGTCTTTAATATGTTAATATTAAATCTTAAAGTTTGTCTTCACAGGACTGTTGTATTTTCAGATGATATTTTTTTGTTGCTGGAGTTTTCTGTCATTATGCTCTGGGACTTGAGACGGTTGAGGCTACTGGTAACTGGCTGACAAAATATGTTGTCTTTATTTTTTGCTTTACTTCATTGTAAGCATCACCCCCAACCATAGGGAAACTATAACCATTCCCTATAGTTATAGTTTTGTTCTGTCTTGAATCTTATTTAAGGCGACATTAAAAATATCTTTAAAAGTCTTAACTTTGGTAAAACGTGGAATGAGAAACCCTGTCAATTCTGTCTTCATAACAAACTTATCACACTGATCCTGCTTCATAGTGCACTTCCCCTGGTGTGAACACATTGTGATCTGCTGGTGTTCAGTGTTTTCCCTGCGGTTGATCCTAGCAGTCGCAGGTTGGCCATCGTACCAAGCTTGACAGTTACGTTTTGTTGTGTGTGGGCCACATGTGACGTCTGACTCAGAGTGTATCTGACTGTCACCAGAGCCGCTGTCAACCGTCCATGGCATTGTTGTGTGTACAAGAGTGTTGTGGTAGTGTTTGTAGAGGACAGTGCCTCTCATCCTGTCTGCTTCTTGCCTCGCCTCGGCCGGGCCTCAGGAGTGCGTGAAGCTGTCAGACGCCTGTATGCTGTACCGGGCCGGCTCACTACGCCGCCCGTTAGCCGCCGCCGCCGAGGTACTCTTACTTCCTGCTTGTCTAACTCTTGACATATCTTTCTGTCTCTCCTCCCATCCTTCCATCTTCATGTCATGTTGCTCCCTCTGCTGGTTGGCTTTGTGCCGCATGAACGTTTGCTGTGCTCTTCAATCAATGAAGTGTGAGAAAGGCATGTTTGTTGGAAGTAGGTTGTTGTGTGGTTGGAGATACCAGAAGAGAAATGTCCAAACTAACTGTGATGTTTCTTCTAACTGTGTTTTTTCAAACTAACTGTGATGGTAATCCAGCGTTTGTTTCCTGTTCACCTGTTTCCCTCCTGCCACTGTTCTGGTCTGGCTGACTTGTCTCTCTCTGCTCCCCCCGCCTCTCCTGCTGCCTCCCATCGTGTGTGGCTGTTCCTCCTGTGAAGGAGTATGTGACAATGGGCCAGTTAAATCAGATCTATGGGATGCCCAAGGTAGAGTCTTCCCCTACATCCCCGCTTCGCCAGCCCCTGCAGCCCGGAGCAGGAGACCCCGCCTTCTCCTGCTTCCCCTCTCGGCATGGCTCCTCCCTCTCTCTGTCTGTGGAGGTGTGTGTTTATCCTCCTCTTCCTCTCCCTCTCCTGCAGGTGTATTTGTTTAGGAGTGTAAGCAATAGAAATGCTTGCGTGTCTTAGTTAGAGGTATGGAGGTAGCTAACTGAGGTAAGAGGAGATTTAAGAGACGTATTCAAATGGTTTAAAGTGCTAAATACAGTTCCTTTTTTTTGTTTTACAGTTTGTATTGCTGTTGTGTATCAATCGTGATCAACAGTTATAAACTCTTTAATGTTAAAGTAAAAACTAATTTCACAATAAGGGCAGCTAAAAATATCGAACATAAATTATGTGATGAAATTAAAATCACACTTGAACAAGTCTTTTTTTGCAATAAGTCATTATAAATCATGGCAGTGATGGGTGTAATATATGGATGAAATACATTTATATTTGAGCCATTCCACTTGGACTCATCATCAGTCATCAGAGGAAATGTTTGAGTGACAAACCCAGTGAACGTGGGAGCCGCTATGCATGCGGCACCTTTGGAAAATTATAGTTGGGGATTTTACAGGCCGTCTGTAAGTTCAGCAATTTTGAATGACAAACTCAACTTTTAATGAATGAAATACTGTGGGACCTTTGGTTGAGCCAGCTGGCCAGTGCCTTTTACATAAATGCGTTGCTGCTGGATATAAACTCATTTATGATGAGAAAAAACTCCTTCCGATGCAGCGCAAAAACTTTTGATCAAAAAACATGAATTTGCTTGAAAACACTGTTTCTGTTAAGCAAATACAGTTTTGTAATTCCAAAGTGTGCCATTTTATGGTAAATAAAAATGTAGCTTATGTCTGAAGTCCAGAGTTGGGGAATGCAGCAACTGGAAAACCCACTGGACTCGACACACCGGGCTCAACCAACAGTAATGAGTGGTTCACCGAGTGTCTGCCACTCAGCTGAACCCAACACATGAGAGGGAATAGCGACAACAGCAACAAAAGTTAAACACCTTTCAATTTTTGCATGGCGGTCTCACCACATGTATCTCTAAATTCAGATTGCATTACCTTTATGAGCCACTCAAACATTGGTTAGTCATAAAGTCTGTCTAGCAGCAGAATATTAAGTAGAACTTATAATGTGTCTGAAACAAACATTTCATCCCCGTCTCTGCTCTCTTTCAGTGCTTTCTAATGCTTTCTTATTTCCTCTCCGTTTTCCACCTTGGTGCTCTGCCTCTATCTGCTGCTCATCTGATTTGCTCTCCAGCACCAGTGTGAGCCCAGTAGGCCTCACCTCCCCACACTAGATTTAGAGCAGTGGTACCCTTAGATTTTTACCCCCCCACAGCTCTCCACTCTGCCGCCAAGTCGCGCAGCAGACCGGTGCTGCAGGTAGCCTTTCACCCCTCATCTTTCTGCTGTGTTTTCTGGGCTGCCAAACGTCACTGTCCTGCTGACACACAGTCTAAAACCAAGTGTGTGCTTTGTGTGTGTCCCTTACTCTTTTTTTTTTTTTTTTTTTTTTAAGTTGCCCACCTTGCACAAAAAAATAACCAATAACTTATTCAGTATGCAGTTTAATATTTTTACAATGGTTGAGATTCAACAAGGTAAAAAGAATTTCTTTCTAATTAAGTACATTTGTGTCGTGATGAAAGATGATGCTCCATGCTGGGTTCAAAGGCATGAGCTGGTTACCAAAGTGACTTTCTAAAGAGTTTTCATTTCATATGTCCTGTTCCTTTAGTTTAACATAGGCTTGTTGCAGTAAGTAATAAATCAATTAATCGTATGATAAGTTAAAACAAGTTCAATATTTTCTATTTGCATGATTTACCACTTTTCTCTTTCTCTCTTTCTACCAAAAACTGGATGACAAAAGTCTTCAATTTGAAGGTCTGGTCTCAAACCGAAGACCAAAGCCTCAAAAAGAGGACCAAAATGTTTTCCTTTTTTTAAAGGACTTGAGTGTCTATGTTATTTTTTGTTTCTGTAGTTTTTTTTATTTATTCTCGATATTTAAAATGTATTCCAGTTCCAGTGTTATATGTTAGATTATTACTACATTTTCCATTGTTTACAAGAGAGACAAATTCAATCCAGCAGCTTGTGACCTGGCACTATTGGACATCAATCAGAATAACACTTGAAAAGTAACACTGCAAGAGTTCAAGTATCTCTATAGAGCAAAAATATATTAACAATTGAAGTTGTTAATAAAGTTTACTGTGTAACTCAATTTAACTCTAATTATAGTAAAAGCAACTCTGAAAAGTTAACACTGATCAGTGTAACTTTGACAGTGTACAGGGCTGGACCACATGCTCTCTGGCTCTGATTTTCACTGACAAATTAAAATATTCTTAAAATCAAAGCTGCATGCTACATCTGCTAAATGTTTCTTAGCCGTTTCCTAACAGCCAATAAAGTATAAAAGTATTCCCCTACTGTCCTTGTTCTGCAACATTTTTTCAGACTCAGAAATGACAAAACATAAGAACTTTTCACAACACTCCCATCTCCCGACACATGGTCAGTATTCTGTCATCACTTTGTGAAACATTCTCCTTTGTCAGGTGTTTCGCTCCAAGCTGGACAGTGATCCCGGCGTTCCGCTCTGTCAGTCCAAGTCAGGCTCCTCGTCTCCCCTGCAGCACGGAGCGGCAACGCTGGGGCGCAACACCAGCTCCAAGGTACGCAGGCTGGATCAATCCTCCTCCCCATCCCAGGTTGGGAGGGTTTCCTCCCATTCGGGCTGCTTTTGAACATTTGGTCAGAAAAAACAGCTTTGGGCAGGTTATTAAAACGCGTTTCACAACATGTGGCGGGAAAATCCTTTTGAAATGGTTGTCATTGTGTAGCAGAATAGCACAAAACTTTTAATAAAATAGCATGATATTGCAGTTATATTATTAATTTATTTTGAACTGTGTGGAATTTGTCAAACAACATTATCAAGTCAATGACGTATGGAACACAAGGCACTATATATATATAGAGAGAGATTTTTTTGTTGTTTTGTTTTGATTTCTTGAAGTTGTTTTTGGGATGGAAACTCAGTCAGATCTGGTAACCCTGGGTGTCATGGATTTACCCTGCTTTCTGTGACCCATCAGAGCCCCCTGCTGGCCGCCGGCAGCACTGGAAGCCTGCCCAGGAACCTGGCTGCCACTCTGCAGGACATCGAGACCAAGAGACAGCTGGCTCTGCAGCAGAAAGGTAACAGGCTGGAAGGATTGTAATATCTATACATCCATCCATCTGCCGCTTATCAGAGGTCGGGTTGCGGGGGTAGCAGCCTAAGAAGGGAAGCCCAGACTTCCCTCTCTCCAGCCACTTCCTCCAGTTCCTCCAGGGGAATCCCGAGGCGTTCCCAGGCCAGACGAGAGACGTAGTCCCTCCAGCATGTCCTGGGTCTTCCCCAGGGAAATCTGTAAATTTCTCTTCAACTGTCAGAAATATCTGCAGGTCAGACACAATATACATAACTCAGTTCATGCAGACTGCTGCCACATGTAGACTGCTGCCACATGCAGACTTCTGCCACATGTAGGCTGCTGCCACATGCAGACTGCTGCCACATGTAGACTTCTGCCACATGTAGACTGCTGCCACATGCAGACTGCTGCCACATGCAGACTGCTGCCACATGTAGACTGCTGCCACATGCAGACTGCTGCCACATGTAGACTGCTGCCACATGTAGACTGCTGCCACATGTAGACTGCTGCCACATGTAGACTGCTGCCACATGCAGACTGCTGCCACATGCAGACTGCTGCCACATGCAGACTGCTGCCACATGCAGACTGCTGCCACATGTAGACTGCTGCCACATGCAGACTGCTGCCACATGTAGACTGCTGCCACATGCAGACTGCTGCCACATGCAGACTGCTGCCATATGTAGACTGCTGCCACATGCAGACGTAATATGATGAAAGGTGGGAATGGAAGGTAGACTGACGTTGGATATTGTTCCGTCTCTGAGCTGCATGTGTGACTAAGTGGATCAGAGCGCAGTGTCTCATTTAGCCCACCCACGGCTGCCGGAGACAGATTTGTCTCCGTCTGCTGTCCAGCTCCTTCTCACGTCTCATCTCTTCTTGCATTGCTGCACCACAGACTTCCGGATCTCCAGACAGAAGCTCTTAGAGGAGAGCTCAGCAGGTAGATGATGTCATCGACAGCAGCCTTGTTTATCTGACTACTGTCTCTGAAATAAAACAACTCTTAATGCCCTTGTATTTATATATTTATTTTTAATTCTAATTTAGAAAAAAAATATTTTTGTGGCTTTTGGGAGCTTTTAATGTGATGCTTTTGGCCCTCGTGGCAAAAAGTTTGAAAACCAGCCCTAAACGTCTTTATGTGAATGGTTCAGATCAAAAAATAGGCTGGTGTTCTAATGGTCTACTCTAAGTTCAGAACTAAACCCACCTGGGGATCTGTAGCAAAACCTGACATTGCAAAAAAAAAAAAAAATTCCAATTTAAAACAAACAAGCATCTTCAAAGAGTGACTCCAGTAGCAGTCAGTCTTGCAATACATCTGAAGAGGCCTCTGACTGTATTAAGACTCACATGACAAATTGAGTCAAAGTTCAAGCATTATTTGAACTTTTGAGATGTTAGTCAGCTTCTCTCAGTTGTGAAAACAACACAATCTTGTCATGGTTACACATCATAACTTACCCAAAATAAAAACGTAAGAACATCCAAGGAGTAAATGTCTAAATGACACGTGCCTCAAAAAGAAAAAAAAAAAAAACAATGAAGAAAAGTCTAGAAAAAGAGCCAGTGAGAATAACGCAGCAGGGCTTCATCAGGCAGGTTCTCTGTTCATTCATTCACAGCCGTCCTAACGAAAGGATCTGGAATCAGACAACAATCTCACTTTTGGAAATTTTCTTTCAAAGCAAAAGAAAAAGACAAAAAAAGCACAATTTTACTTCCACTAAACAATTGTGCACAATTTTATGTTTGTCACATAAATCTGAATAAAAGACAGTAGTAACATACTGAGTTTCTCTATGAATCTGTTACTGCTTCTATAAACCAGGGCTCTGCCAGACGCTGCCTCATTAATGAAGCTGAATGGAAAAGCAGACAAAGCTACAATAACAATCAGGCAGCCAATCAGCATCCAGCTAGCCTGCAGGCTTCAGCGTAACAAAGCCCAGACTCTGCATGTGGCTTTGTGATGATGAAAACCCGTCTGCCTGACTTCTTGGCTCTGTTGATTGGTTCATCAGAGGAAACGTTTACACAACCTGACTGCTCATTTCAAACCCCAACCTTCATTTTTCCTCCCCTCTCTGTGGTCTCATTCAATCTTCACCCACCAAATAACAACAAAAAATAGCATTATCATTTTTTTTTGCAGCCTGAATCCCTTTTTTCTTCCATCAATTTTCTCTGATGGTTCATGAATAATGCATGTTGAAAGAGAATTTCAGAGAAGCTTTGTTGTTCTGCTTGCTTTGGGACTGAGTACACAGCTGGATGTGTGCTAAATCAATAACAATATATATTGGGATCAACAGGTGATCAATAACAATACAACTTTAAGAATATTCAATGTTCAGTATATAGAATATTCACTGAACTGCTTTCCAGAACCACACAACTTTCTGAGAGATACAACCTCTAACAGACTTTTAACCAAGGTTACTTACTCTCTGGTTACCTAGCAACAAACTGCTAAGTAACTTGCGCAGCAGCAGTTTCAGGTTTTGCCACCGTGTCTCAGACCTGCTGGTTGAGATACAGTCAATGTGTTCAGACCAAATCAGCTTGTTGTCTTGTTCTCCCTCTAAAATCCACATAAAGAACAAAATTCACCCCTTCTTTTCTCTCTTCCTCTTTCTGTCAGGTCAGCAGGTGATTGAGGAACAGCGCCGCCGTCTGGCCGAGCTCAAGCAGAGAGCCGCCGCCGAGGCCCAGTGCCAGTGGGAGGCGCTGCACGGCTCCCAGCCTCACCTCCCGACCTCTTACTCCCCCCTCATGGCCAACAGTCCCACTCTGAGCCACAACTCATCAGGCCCCCCATCCCTGGTGCACCACTCCATCCTGCACCACCAGCCTCCATCGGCGGGAGAGCAGCCCTACGACACCCTGAGCCTGGAAAGCTCAGACAGCATGGACACCAGCATTTCCACGGGCAACAACTCGGCCTGCTCACCCGACAACATGTCTGGGTGAGTACGACAGCAACACACGCTGCGGCACACTTTTTATGGCAGGAAGGATCTTTACATGCCTGAATATATATATATATATAAAAAATCAATTTGTAGAACAAAATTTGAAGTTTGATTTAAAAATTCTGTTTTGATGAATATGTTGCCATTCATCTAATTTATTCTACATACTGGAAGGAATCAGAGGCATTAATGCTACCCCTGCTTCTTTTCATTTGCTGCTTGGATTTGCATCCATTGTTCCGAACAATCAGTCATAATGTTACAGCAGCCTGATTTGGTTTGTTTCTGGAAACCCATTTAAAACATAAATCCGACTCATTTTTGTGTTATTTTTTATTAGATCTATTGAGAAATGAAATAATGCAGAAGCTAATAAGATGCAAACTTTAACTCAACTATCAATATGAATTGATTTTTGTCAAATTGACTTTAATGACCAAACATGTTGATGTGCGGACAGAGTCCTTATAAGATTTATTTCTGTTTTACCTCCAGTTATAATTTTCAATAAGTTTTATAAGTTATTTTACATTATAACAGTTACATTTCATTCAATATTGAAATATATCCTCGATACAACAAAATTTGACTTAATACCTACAAATATTTGTATGTTATCAACACAGTAATGCTGCTGCTGTGGTTTAAACTTTCTTTCTTTCTTCTTTCTCATACTTTTTTATATTATCCTGTCATGACATGATAACAGTTTAACAAAAATGTTAAAAACATATTTATAAAAGTTACATACTGCAGTTTTAAAGATTTGTTTGTGTAGAGATTGGCTTCTTCTATATTTTTATAACAATTCTTCAAAATCCAGAAGGGTTTTCATCATCCAAGGACTGGATAAGTGAAATGCATACTTTCTAATTGGATTAGCCGTTCAATACAAGTTAGAAACATTAGTGAAAGCTTGTCACAATTAGCCAATAATCATAATGGATTAATACATCTGGGCGAGTTCAGGTGACTGTGTGGTTGAAATTCCATTCACATAATGCATCAAACTACACATGGTGACAAAACTGGGCAAACATCCAGAAGGTGGCAGCTGATGTGGATGGAAGTTGTCAGACGTGCAGACCAGTGATGGGGGTGTAAATGAAAGAGCGATTGCTACAACAAATCTTTCCTGAGGCGTTTCTATGCAATATTTAACTGTTGTTTTTGGTTAAAGTTACACACATCCCTGCAGGCTGACAGAAGAGCTGCATGCGGCTCCAGAACCGCAGGCTGCAAATGTTTGAACCAATAAAACGAGACGTTAACACTCGCAGACATATGCAAAAACACAGCCCAAAACCACAACCAGACAGCCAGCTTTGAACCACAGAGTGGGTGGGGGGCTGGTCGAGGTGGAGCAGCACCTCTGGAACTCCCTGATTAATGACCGGCCTGCTCATCAATACCTCCTTGCTGACGAAACAATCATATTTATCGCTGTAATTCCTTTGTTTTTAAAGATTTCTACTGATCTGCATGGATTGAGGTGTTTCCACAGGAGGTGAGGTAATCATTGCTGTGCTGTGTCTGCTGGCAGTGTTGGAGGGGTGGACGTGCTGAAGATCGAGGAGATGGAGAAGATGCTAAAGGAGGCGCAGCTGGAGAAAGCCAGACTGATCGAATCGCGGGTAAGAATCCGACTTGATCCATCCCGGATCCGTCCTCAGTGACAGATGAGCCTCAGCCTGTGTAGCAATCTCATCCATAACTGAGCAGGAATATGGAAACATAAAAACATAAAGACTGTGATTTCAGCTCAGGTCTTTGGTTCACAACATGTTCTCTGCTGAAGGAAGTCAGCGGAATGATGAAAGTCAAAATCCACCTCACCTGACACTAATTTAACACCTTAGAGTATTTTATATTTATTGTAGGGCTGAAACAATGAATCAGGATTTAATCCAACACTTTGCATCTTAAATGCAAAATATACATTTAAGATGAAAAACCGTCTAGATGTATAAATATGTTCCACCCAGAACTCACCTGCTACAAATTCTGAACAGAAAAAAACATATCCTATTAGGAAACATTTTGCTATCCACTTATTAATCAAACAGTCAATCAAAAAAAACCTGATCAGCCCTGTGCTGTATTGATAAGTCCAGCAGAAAGGTCTGAACTTCACATGTTGATGTTAGAAGGATTTGAAGCTACAGATTTGTACTTTGCCGTAAATGACTGAATGTTCACTAAAGGAATACTGTTGTTGCATTTTAGGTAATAAAATGTTTTTTGTTTTTTTTAAATGTAATAAAATCACTTGTTGATTTGTGTCTTTTAGCTTATTTTTATTATTGTACAAACTTTCTTTTATACAATAAAGCCTTAATTTATTGTCATCAGTGACAAATTTATCACATAAGTATTCATATCAAGTAACACAAAGTAGAGCTTAATTGCATAGTGAAAGGAATTACTCCTGGGGTTTTTTGTTGTTGTTTTTTATCAAATAAATAGAGAAATCTTATAAGTGCAGTGAACATTGTGCCTCTTTTTCTTGCAATACCCCTAAATCAATAATTAGGCAAATTGTGTCAACCGCATGTGTTATAAATCCCATGAATATAAAAACAGTTGTCCTGTAAGGGGTCCTGATGACTCAGCAATGTTTCAACCTGTAAAGGTAATAAATAACTGCTGGCCTTTTGCTACATAAAATATTTTTGTCTTTTATGTAGAAGTTTGATTTTCTTTATCTTAAAACGTACAAAACAAAAATCTAATTGTCTTGAATTAAAAGCCTAAACAAATTTTCAGTTGGAGATGATCAAATCCCACATTTTATTTTGAAGGGTCACGTAGCTCTTGGACCATAGTTGCTCTGGAGGAGCTGCAGAGGTTCACCCTGTAGTGAAGGTGTGGGAAAGTGTTAGGTGGTTTGATGGGAACACATTTTAGTTTGAAACGTCTGTGAAGATCAGATTTGTTTGCAGGTGTCTTCCATTTTTATTCCATTTTGTACTTCTCTGTTGCCCAGGTATGTCAAAAAAACATGTGTCCAACATGGCTGACATGTAACTACTGTAAGCCAGCCGATGCCGCTGACTGGTTCAGCCGCACTGCTGTGGTAGATCTGCTCAGAGGTCAGCACTCAGTCTATGTGTAGCTCCCAGCAGGGGAGCATGTCCATAAATATATGAGTGCTGTGCTGACGAAAAAAAAAAAAAAAAAAAGAAAAGAGAGAGAATCTTGTACACGCTGCAAAGCTGATCCCAAAGATCAAAAAAATATCTAATGAAAGCACTTTTTCCCCCAGGAACGAGAGAGCCTGGCTCGCCGTCAGATGTTGGAGGAGGAGAGGAGGAAGAGGGAGGAGGCGGAGAAAAGACTCCAGGATGAAACTTTCCACAGAAAGCAGCTTGTGGAGAAGGAGGTCAAGATGAGGTCCAAGAACTTTTCTCAGGTCAGTGTGATGGTCTCACTTAGTATGCTAGAGGTTGTTATTTAGCGGCATTTAGATGTAAAGAAACAAATAACACTGGAAACTCGTTTAAGATGTTTTGGTAACTCTGTATTTGAAGCATCGGACTGACATGACATGACGCCTGTTATGAACATAAAGGAGTGTTCATGAATGTTTAGGACTGTTGTCATGATGTGTTATTCGGTAAATAATGACACTATTAATACAAAGTTGCACTAAAAGTCCGTTAAGTGTAAACTTTGCATTATTTGGACAATAATGACCCTTTTAACTAAAAGTTTAATGAAAAATTTGCATTGAAACTCTTTTAAAGTGTCAACTTTGCATTGAAAGTGTCATTTAGTGAATGACACTTTGTGACAACAGTCATAGACATTCATAAAGACTCATTCATGTTCATAACAGGTATTATGTCATGTTTATGACAGTGCCATGTTAGTCTTCTGCACAGCTCTGCAACTAAAGTGTTACCAAAGTTTTGAGTACGCCATCTTTGAACAGAGCAGGATCTTCAGGACAGAAGTGGAATCTTTCTTTCCCATCTGTCCAGGCTCGACCGATGACCCGCTACCTGCCCATCAGGAGGGAGGAGTTTGACCTGCGCTCGCATGTGGAGTCGTCGGGCCACAGCGTGGAGACGTGTTATCACGTCATCCTCACAGAGAAGATGTGCAAGGGCTACCTGGTGAAGATGGGAGGCAAGATCAAGTCCTGGAAGAAGCGCTGGTTTGTGTTCGACCGCCTCAAGAGGACCTTCTCCTACTACGTTGGTAAGTCAGGTTTAGGAAGCAGGAATCTATTCGCACTTCCGTTGAACTCTGGATGAAATCCAGAGATGAATGAAGCTAGCTAAACTTTCTGAACATCCATGAACATGAGAAAAGAACCCGTTGATTAAATCTAGTTCTGCAGTCTCAGTTCTTTCACAAACTGTAGAGTTTTGTTCTTACGACAGGTCCTGAAATCTCTCTAGCTTCCTGATTGTTTTTGTGTTATTTGAAGCATTTTTGACTGAGTTGTAAAATGTGAAGTTCTCAGCTTCAGTCTTATTAGTGTGACCTGGTCACCATGTCCAGACCTGGTAAACCACACAGATTCTAACGGAGGTTCTGAGCTCTCCTTGTGGGTCAGCACTGCACTATATCTGCACCCAGATTCTAGATTCATTTAATGTTTGTTAAAGTTTCTCCTTTTTCTTTGGAGTGGGACTGAGGGTGGAAACGCTTGTATTTAGTTATTTAGTTCCTTTTGTTGGTATTGCACTCTTATTCCACTTAGTTATATTTTGTTTTGCAAAATAAAGACACTCTTTAGTTTAGAGCTGCAACTAATGTTTATTTTAGCAATTGATTATACTTATGATTGATTATTCAATTAATAGTGCAATTAATTGATTAACTCTGTTGTTTTTTTAAATGACAAATTGTTCATTTAATCACTTGAGGTCATTTTCTACAATATTACACAAATGAAATGATTTTATTGTCTGAGCAAATTGTCACTGAAATTCAATTCAATTGAATTGAGCAATTCAATTCCTTTTTTGCATAAGATAATAGGCGTTTCAGCCTAAAATTCAACAACACAGCATTCCTTTAGTGAACTCTTGTGATTTGTAGTAAATAATGCATCTGCAGCTAAACACAATCACTGGATAATATTTCATGCAAGTATCGTACGATCCCCCAAATGTAAGGAAACGGAGACATTTTTTATTGGAGTCTAAACTAACTTGTCAACTTGACTCAAACATGTTTGTTGCTCCATCCATGGCTAATCTCGTCTGCGGAGCGTTAAGTGCTCCTCGTGCAGGATTCTGTTTGGGGAGGAACTCGGGTGTTAGTTTTGGGTTGCATCAGCCTCCATATGTAAATGCTAGAGTAGAACATGGAGGGCGGCAGAAGCCGCGGCCCAGCGACAGTCGGAACATGCGTCCTCCGCACCTCCAGCAGGGTGACATGTTGTGTAATTTGCCGCGGTTCCTGGAGCTGTGGGACACCCGCTCGCTGTCGGGCCCTTTGAAGTCCTCACAAGGTTCCGCTCAAAGATGCTTAAAGTGGTACCTTGTTGAAACGGAGCCAGGGCGAGGAGGCGTACTGAGATTACCTTGGCAGGGGCTGAAACGCGCCCCAGCCCACCACAGTGCCGCGCTCTTTGAGCGAGCTGATTGGGATGCAGAGCCGCGGCCCCCGTCTCCTGACCTTGAATACGGAGTAACAGGAGGTGACGAGCAGGAGTCAGCAGCGCCGCTAATTCCTGTTAATCAGCCTCAAACACAGCCACGTTTGGGCTTATTTAGACGGAGTCAAATGAGATGCAAATGCGCGGCTGTTTGAATGCTAAAGAGGTCATTAGCAGATAATGGCTGCGTGTTAAAAGCAGGCTGTTGTTCCTCGAAATGAAGGCGCTGCGCCCGCCTCTACCTACTGCTCTTTAAGTTGGCTGCTGGAGTGTTTTTTCGCCTGGAGGTAGAGAGGGCTATTGAGTTCCCCACCGGTTCCTTACTGCAGTTCTGCAGTGGCTGATGAAACAAACTGCAATCATGTACCAGAGTAGCGTAAGAATGCAGGCAAGTCTGAAAACACAATGAAAAGCTCCACTTGCTTTAAAAAACAGAAAGGAGAGAAAAAAATATTGCTGTGCTTGTCTTTTCCCATCCATCATCACAAAGCTCAAATTGGTCATGATCAAAGTCGGGCTCCTGCGCTGATGAGCACATCGTGCGGATCTGCTCGGAAGATTCTGGGTGACATGCGTGAGGTGTGAGTCGGCTCCTCCAGCTGAGACGGTGTCAGAACGGATCAGGTTCTGACCAGAGATGATTTTTTTTCTTCTCCTTTCTGTCTGCAGACAAACATGAGACCAAGCTGAAGGGTGTGATCTACTTCCAGGCTATAGAAGAGGTCTACTACGATCACCTCCGCAGTGCCACTAAGGTACCACTCTGTCCTTTCACCCGTTCTCTTTCTGCTCCCTGCTTTCTTCGAGTCCCGTGTTCATGTTTGTCCCGTTCAGCCGTCTCCCCTCCCCTCCCTGAGTCCACTGTGTACAAACTGTTAGTGAAATGGGAGGACGGGGGGAATAGATGGCGTTAAATGTGCTGCGAGCCCTGAAGCCTAAAATCCTCAGGAAGTACAGACTGTGACGCCTGTCGGTTTAAAGCCAGAGACTTGCTAATCCTTCCTGCTCCCTCTGTGGATCCCAGCAGAATTCATCAAGTGTCTGGAAAACAACTTTAACACAAACCTTCACATGTTTTCCAGATTTCTTTGATGCTGACAGTTAATGTGGTTTGAGCAGAGCAGTTATATTCATTTTTTGTCGGGAACATTGTGAGCAGTGGTGGACACCACGAGCTACAAAGTTAGCTGCGCTAACCCTAAATTTGTTTATTCAACCTTTATTTAGCCATGTGAGTTATTATGAATTACAATAACAGCCTGTCAGGGAGGGAAGGACACATAGGCAGATAAAGCACTAACTAACGCTACAGTGCTATTCCAACTTATTTAACAGAGCCTACTGTTAAAGTGTTGCACTAACAGGCTATTTAGAGGAAGCTAACACTAAAAGACTATTTGGACTTGCAGGGGTGGGCGCTCCTGGTCCTCGAGGGCCGGTGTCCTGCAACTCTTGGTTGTCTCCCTGGTCCAACACACCTGAATCCAACAGCTGAATCAATGCAGTCAAGTTCTCCAGAGTCCTGCTAATGACCCCATTATTTGACTCAGGTGTGTTGAAGTCGAGATGCATCTAAAAGTTGCAGGGGATCGGCCCTCCAGGCCTGGAGTTGCCCACTCCTGATTTAGAGAAAGCTAAACCTAAAGCACTAAACTCTAAAGCACTTATCATATGAGAACATTTGCACATTCTCAGTCCAAGCTAAAGAATGGTTGTTAATGGCAAAATGAAGGAACATTGTTGTAATGACCTGGTGACAATTGACAGAAAGGCTTCTTAAAGAGACAGAAGCCCAATTTCAGGGTGTCAAATTGTGGCAATTTCTTCCTTCAATTTGGAAACAATATAGTCGAGAGACCAAAACATTTTCCTGCTGGATGGATCAATGGAAGCAAACACACTTACCTTCAGGCATGAAGAGACGGGATCTGGTCACCATCAGTCACTGAGAGATGAAGCGAGAGAATCTGGGTTCATCCTTTGTGTTCCTTTTCACAGAGCCGTACATGCAGTCGTCTCTGTTTCTGACAATCATCTTTATTTTTTATTTTTTACTTCTGCACAAAGCTGAGCTGCTGCCTCCTCATCTGTGCGTGTTTGATGGCCTGTCGCTGCGCAGCACACTCTGACTTACTGCACGGCTCTGATCAGCCCTGGAACTTTGATTCTCCTTGTCACTTCCAATGTCACTTTACCAAGAGGCAGAGCTTCATGTGAGCTGCTCTCTGCCCAGACACACACTGCTTTCAGAGGCTGAGAACAGTTGCAGGTGGTAACTTTGTTCCACACATTTGCTCTGGTTGTCATGAAGAATGAGCAAAGTGATATTTTTTTTATCTTTAAATATTGCTCAGGATTAATTTTTTTATTGCCAGTTTCCATAATCTATGTTTATTTTGAATCACAGGAAATTACAATATCCTATATCGATTTGATAAAATAGAGGCTTTTGAACTTCCCATATTTGTGCCTTTTTTCAACAGTTGAAACTGTTTAATTGTTTTTAGCACATCGTAACCTTTAAACACAACTAAGACGCTCGCACTGTTTACACCTGTGCAGCAGCCAAGGAGACCAGCTGATGCTGTTCTAACACCTGATGCTGTTCTAACACCTGATGCTGTTCTAACACACCTGATGCTGTTCTAACACCTGATGCTGTTCTAACACCTGATGCTGTTCTAACACACCTGATGCTGTTCTAACACCTGATGCTGTTCTAACACCTGATGCTGTTCTAACACACCTGATGCTGTTCTAACACCTGATGCTGTTCTAACACACCTGATGCTGTTCTAACACCTGATGCTGTTCTAACACACCTGATGCTGCTCAGATGTGTTAGAATTATGGCAGCAAACCAACAAAACGCAAAGAACTTTTCACAGTTTTTCCCCCAAACTAACCGACTGAGTTGAGTAATGGCGTTGGATTAATGCTAGCTAAAAGATGAGGAGCTAATACCAATACAGCACCTTAAGCTTGTTAGCAAGTAGCCTGTAGGCTACTGATGTTGTTTATGTTAGAAAGTGTATTGTACTTGTTACATTGAATAACGTTTTTAGAAAAGTTTAGGAAAAATCCTTTTTTATTTTGACAAAGGGAGATACACTGAATCCATCAGCTCATTTGTCTTTAGATATTTTATTTAGAAAATCAGAGTAGATATCAATGTCTGAAAAAAGCAAAGCAGGAGAGAAAGAAGATGAAGAAGTGAAACTTAACATGTACAATTTTATGTGTTAAGGGCTGCATCAGGCTACAATAGAATGTTCAGTTCCAATGGCATCAATGACATCAGCACTGATGACATCACTCTATAATACCATAAAGGAATCTCTCTCTTGAACGTAACTCACAGGCAGTTTTCTTAGACCTGTTCCACAGTTCTATCGCGACAGATCACTCTTCAGAGCACGTTCAAAACAAGCAGAATATCCATTCCAGATATTACACACCTTTCAGAGAAGCAGGAATTTACCAGAATACAGACATGCAGCAACAACAGATTGCTTGTGAACATGAAGCTTCTCCAGCTGAGCTTTCATGGGTCGACATGATGGACCTCAACATCCAAGTTGACTACAATGCAGTGGTTTTCCCTTTTGAGGATGACAGTGACAGTCCCATTGAGTCGGAAGATGAATCGGCAGAGATCCAGGGGGAATCAAGTCCTTCAAGCAACTTTGAGAGTCCAACATCACTGGAAGTCAAGCAGGAAACAAATCCCTCTGCTGGCTTCAAGATGACCCCCTCAGTGGAAGTCGTGGAAGAGAAGAGCCAACCAACACGTCATTGATCTCACAAAGCAGGTAGACGATCTTAAAAAAGCATTGGAGAGTAAGATTTTTGATCTCCATGAGGAAAGAGACCAAAGGATTGCATATCAGGCTAAAGTCAAATCACAGCAGCAGGAGATTCAGAAACTGCAAAAAAATGTTAGAAGAAGAACGTCACATGCAAGTCAAACATCAACATAGAAGAAACGTGCCAGAGATTAAAGATGTGTCAAAGATTTCTTGCTCTTCCAAAGTTACAGCCGGCAAGAACATTCTTCAACAGCTGGAGTACTTCAAGAGGGAGGCTGAAAAATACGCCTCCCGCAACAAAGGTCTGGTAGAAGTAATGGTTGAAGAATACAGAGTGAGACTTAAATATGAGGAGCAGCTCAAAAGTCACTCTGAGCAAGCTTCCAAATTCAAAGCACAGGAGGAAACAGTGAAATCTCTGCAGGGTCAGATTTCAGACCTGAAGGTGAAGCTGAAACTTGCTCTGGAAAACAACCATCCTAGAGTCTCCATCCAACCAGAGGCCCCCCTGCAAACAGAAGACTCCCTATAGGAGACCAAGGAAAGAGAGACCAACAATCAACCAGGGGGCTCCATGCATAGCCTGGCTCAGCCTTTGCACCGACCCAAACTCAGGTTGCAGACAGAGGAGTCCATGCAAAGCCAAACTTCCACACAAACATGGAGGTCAGAGGAAAGACAGACGTCCATGGGACCAACCTCCACTGATTGCATGAAGGGCCTTCATGCGGACGGCGTGCGGCAGCCCGTGCCTACCTTCAATTCCCTATTCAAACTGTCCCGTGCACGGGGCGGGAATAGGGAATTGAAGGTGGGACGGGCCTTTACGCCTTTACGTCGACCCATACCTAGGTGGAACTAAGCTAGGTCACTAACCAGTACTAGTCCATTCCTAACCTTATCTAAAACTTGATTTGTGTCATTACCCCTGACTCAAAGCAATGAGTCCATCATATTAGGACTGGGCTTTGGTCCTACTATAATGGACATCATGCAGTGTTTCTCAGCCCCTCTGCTCTGCATGTTTTAGATGTTCCCCTTCTGCCACGCACCTGGTTTGAATCTCTGGGTGACCAACAGGCATCTGCAGTACTTAATGACTGCAGAGGTCATGCAATCATTTGGATCAGCTGTTCTGAAGTAGAGACGCATTTAAAACATGCAGAGCAGGAGGTTTAAGGACTGGAATTGAGAAGCACTGACCAAATGTGACTCTGGACATATAATGGACAACAAATGCGTTTTGAGCGTCAGGCTCGTCTGGTTTGCATTCAGTCTATGTGGATGCTCAAACACATTGAGGACCATTGCAACGCACTTCAAGCGACTAGCACGGTGTGATTTTAACCGTTTGGAGGGTTTGAGGCTTCAAGTGCATCCAACACTCCAGTGGATGCAGTGGAACAGCTGTTCGCCTAAAACTTGAAGGGTTTAGCGTCGATGTTGTTATAATTGCTCAGATACAGGTCTGTTAACTGAAGTCTGGAATATAAACTGAATGTTCCAATCATGTTCTCATGTAGACTTTGAATATAAACCAGAAATTGTCTGACACTCAAAACATGTTTGATGTGAATGCATCATTAGAATGTTCAGCTTCAATGGTAACAATGACTTCAGCAGTGATGACATCACTCTTTGATGCATCAAATGAATCTCTCTCTTGAGTGCAGCACACAGGCTGTTTTTTCAGACCTGTTCCTGTTTCAGAATTATGAGTTATAAGTTATGAATCTTCTACAGCAGCATTGTTCAATTATTTGAAGGCACAGAATCAACCCAGTACAAGTTCACATCCTCAGGTTAGAGAGACTCACCTTGTATATAGTTAATTTTTCAGTAATGGAATTACATTTATTAATTTAATGAAAGCACATCATGAATATGTGTGCATATAGTCCATCTTAAATACATCATGCTAGTTTTTTTTGTTGCTTTTGCCACCACTAGATAATATGCAATTAAGACATTAACAGCACTATTCAGAGATGCAATGAGTTTATAGCAGCTGTGCAAATGATCTAATCGTCTGTTGATTTGCAGCAATCAACCTGCTCTCCCTGTTCATAGCACATATAGACGACCCCAAATAAAATTCTGCTTTGTCTCCAGGGAGACTTGGGTCAGCGGCTCTGATGCCGACATCTCCAGAAAACATATGAAATATTGTGATTGTCATGTGTTACACACACCAGGAGAGGTCGGAGTGTTTGTTGTCTTTACCATAAAACAGCCAACTTTCTGTTATTCCCATGTCGATTTGATACAGTCTGAGCTTCCATACGTTCCATATGTGCATCTGATCTTTTACTTTTTTCAGCAGTTAAAACCTTGTAATTGTTGCTAACACGTTGAAACCTGTTTTTCGACCTGCTGCTGCTGTGCAGAGTTACTCACGTGTGTTAGAATCATAGCAGCATAGTTGGCCTTTTGTTCACACAATGAACTGGGAACATTGACCTCATTTTGGGTTCTCTCTTCAAGTTTAGAATTTTTAGCCAAATTCTTTTTGTTTCCTTATCTGTCGGTAGGCAATGAAAACTACTGCTTTTGTTTTGGGAGCACGTTCAAACCACGCTTACTGCAGCCACACATCAAACTTCTTCTGATTGTTGGAGCACAGCCACGAACAGCACAACAGTCAGCCGAGCTTTACGAGGGCATCTTAGTTCCAGTGTCAAGTTGCGCTGGATAACGGGTCGATGTGTGATTCTGTTCGGTTCTAGTGCAGTGGGGAGCATTAGGGTCTGCAGCACAACAGCTGAGGTTATTTCTCTGCTAATTTGCAGCGACACTCAGAAATGGAGAACCTCAGGGTTCTGGTTCTGATGGACTAAATAATCTCTCATATTTTATTTTGTCTCATAGAAATGTATTGCTGGCCTAAATATAATAATAAGTCTCACTTGCTGCAGCCACTTTATGAACTTTATTATTCTTTAAATGCGAGTGAAAAATCTCATTCCCATCACATCAAGCTAATATTATGAAGTCGGTACAAACCTGCAGCTCAGATCTCTGACCAGCTTCTCTGATTTTGTCTTTATTGCTGTCAGCTCTTCAGAGCTGCTAGCTGTGCTGCTAATTCACTGTCATCCCGTTCCAAAACTTAACGCCGAGTTCCTGAGCTCATAATTCTGATCCTCTGACGGTCTATCAGTAAACAAGTTTTACTAAATATTGCATTATAACTGAAAAGAGAGATGTAACTTCTATCATGAATATAGACTAGCAAAAAACCTACAAATTATAATGAAATACTGTTACTTCTGTAAAACCCATAATCCATTCCCTAGTAAACCTCCCAGGAACAAGGTCTATAGGCTGCTGATGTTTGAAAGTGGGTAGTACTTGTTACATTCACTTGAGTAACTTTTTTTGGAAAAACTGATATCTATAAGAGCAGTTTTACTGCACTGAACCTTTTTATTTTACTAGAGTAAAGAGTAAAGCTGTTATTGCTATGTAGATTCATTCTTCCTCTCCAGAATAAGCCGATGCCTCCCCTCTTGTTAAACTCGTCTGCTTGACTTTGTGCCTGTTTTCCCATTTCAGGTTTTGTAAGGCTCCATGACATCCAATACATGAAAGCTTATTAAACGTTTAATATTAGGATTGTAAACTGAGAGAACAGATTTATAGAACTGTCTTACTCTCCTCAGTCTCCACTAACTTGAGGTTCTTTAGTTTCATTGTTTCCTGCTTCCATTCGCTGGCATTATGCATGTAGCCAGATGACATGTGTCTTTTAAACCACACCTGCTGTGTCCACTGTCCACCCTCATCCAATGCAAAGGTTTTAAATGTCTCCTGCATTCTAAAGTCAGTCAGTTGCATCTTTATACTTTCACTGATTGGAGGCAAAAATCTGATTTTTAACTTTTGGGATGTTTGGGATGGTTAACTGTCAGCACCAATCAAACAAAGGAAGATTGCTCCATTCTGGCTGCTGGCCAGTTTCCTGGTGCATCTCTAGTGCTGACCAGTAGGGACCACCACAACAAAATCCATTGGAAAACACTGTTTGTCCAACTCTTTCAGCTCTATTACTTGGTCAGTTAGTTGGGGGTGAGCTTTTCTTCTGGAAGTCATTTGGGTGATCGCTCTGAGAGGAAACAAACAGAGCAGAGCAGAACTTTGTTTTTGAGTCTGAGGCAAGCTGCAGAGTCTCTAGTTTCATCCTTCACCTTAGTTTTCTGATTTATTATTTAGAGGGAGAAACAACAACTCCAAGCTGTAAAGATTCTCCAAAGACTTACAGCTCGGACTCGCCGAAGCATCTGAATTTTCAAAAAAAAAAGGAGATTTAGAATCTGAGAAGATTGATTATTGGTTCAGCCTCAGCCGGGACGTGAATGCAAGAGGCAGGGTCAGACCTGGCTGATGGAGAACTTCTACTGACTCTGGTTCTGTCTGTCTGCCGCCCCTCCCAAACCCCCTCCTCAGAGCCCCAACCCATCGCTGACCTTCTGCGTGAAAACACACGACCGCCTCTACTACGTGGTGGCGCCATCGGCGGAGGCCATGAGGATCTGGATGGACGTGATCGTCACGGGAGCGGAGGGATACACTCAGTTCATGAACTGAGCAGGAGGGCGAGCGGGACGCTGCTGCGGCGATTGGACACACGATCCACGGGATCCGTTCTGACGTCCGCTCCGACTTGGACACCACGCCTGTTTGTTACCGTTTCTGATTTTATTTCTGCGTTTGATCACACAATCATTTCTCCATGCAGGCGTTTCCTTCGTCATGTTTCCAATGTGATTCTGTTTGGATTGAAAAAGGGAGCTGCTGCCACACACACACACACACACACACACACACACACACACACACACACACACACACACACACACACACCTAAACACATCTCTGTATATAAACCAAAATGTTCACCTGTCCAGGACTGTTCAAAGCCTTTCTATATTGCCAAAAGGAGATCTTGTAGTTACTGTTGAATATTTTGTATTATTTGTTTGTTTTTTTTTTACTTAGAGAAAAAATTGCCAAATGACACGTTGCCAATGTTATTGAGTGTTCTATTGTAACTTTGAGTGTAAAGAGAGACGATTTGAAGAATTCCCTTCACTTTAACGTGTTTCAGCTGCCGAAACATTTTTTCTTTTTAACGGTCAGCAGCAGCAGAGATGATCTCAGATCCCAGATCCACGTCTTCACCAGGCTTACCAAAGGATCGGGCCGTCCACAGGAGAGTCCATTCAGTAGGACAGAGTTATGGGCTGCAATGGTTTGATCGACGCCATTACACAACAAAACTTCAATGGTCTCTATGCTTCAAAGCTGTCAGAAGAGGCTGGCTTAAACTTATGCTAACCTAGCTATCCTAGGTTAGCATCAAGTCTGTAACTAAAGAGAGAAAGTGTAAAATAATCAGAGCGATTTCTGGTCAGACATTTTGATTCCATCTCTGTTTTCCAGAGTTCCCAGGTTGGGCGAGGTTTTGTTAATACATTATTGTCCAGCCCTGAACATTTGGTCATTTTATTTATTTATTATTTGGTTATATCAGCACCAACATCGGTACCAACCGGTCATTTTTGACATATCGGTATTGGTCCAATAAACGGGCTGATATTAACAACCAATATTTATTTCCAACTTGTTTGTTTCTGGTCAAGGTTGGTCAGGAGCCATTTTTATGGTCATGTGACAGAGAGATGCAACAAAGGATTATGGGGAAGCAGTGGTGAAGTCATGTTTTCCAATATTCACCTAGATATATTTAGCTATCAGTGATAACAGCAGTATTGGTATCGGGTATTTATATTGGTCCAGATTTGCATATTGGTGCCTTTCTAATTTATTGCTCAGTCTTTATCCCTGTGTGGTCGAATTAAAACCGGTTGAGTGGATCAGAAGCAGAATCATTGGAAATAGAAAGTAATGTAAAATATTATTCAACAGGGATTATGATTAGCATTGAAACATTTGTATGACTTACCTCCATAATTCATATTTGTAACCTCGCAGGAGATGCTTAAGCAGTGAGGCGGAAATGAAACAAAAAGGTGACAACTGAGTATTAAACTGTGAAAACTAACTGAAGCTTTCCTAAACATGACCAAGTGTGTGTGTGAAACCATCAGTCCTCTGACAGCTTTGAAGCATCCCTTCTCGTCAGGCGGCTGTTTTAGGCTCGTTTAATTGAGAACTGTATGTATTTAATGAAAGAAAACCCAACACTCTGAGGCTGACTGCCAAAACAAAACACTGTCCATTGGTTTCACCAAAGCTGCCATGATGCCCTGAACTCATCGCTCTGGTTCCGGTTCTGACACGGCGCAGGCTCAGGAAGCCTTTAGCTAACTTGATGATGGGAAGCAGCATCACCACAACCAGCCTAAAGCAGCAAGCACACATTCAACTGTTTGGATGATGCAATTCAGACCTGTGCCTTCACCACATGTTCCTGAGTCCTGCACAGCCTCACTGTGGAGCCTGCATCACACGGACGCTTTCACACCACTGTCTCTTTGAGCTCTCCAATAGTATCATGTACAGGTTTGCATGCTTTCCTCTTTACCTTGGAAATGGTTCTCATGATCCCAGAGGGTCCCAACATGGTGGCCTCATTGGATCAGTTAAAGAAAATTTCACCTAGGAGACATACTACAGATCCTTGAGAAAGGATTGTTACAATCTGAGAAAACAAGTCAAGTGGACTGCTAGAAGCAATCCTTTCACTTTTAAATTGGACAATGTGGAACACGTGGCTCACAACATGGCTGCTCGTGTGAACCTGTCTACCAAGAATTATTTCATGGGAATCTCCCTTCCAAACGCCTGTCACTGAAAGGATTGCCTTGGATCCAAGGGATCTGAAGGATATCCCTGCACCTTGTGGTTGGCCGTACAGGAAGCACTTCAGGAGTAGATTTAACCTTCCAGTGGTCTTTTAGTGCGATGCTCAGGAGGAACACGGCAGATTTCAACAGCGGGAAAGACCCGAAATCACACATTAACCAAAAAAAAAAAAAACCCTGACAAAAGTCTGGTGAGAGCAACCTCACCAGATTACGCACAGGATAGAAAGCTTGTGGAGTCCAATTGACCTGGTTTCTTACACTGCAGGAGGGCAGAACTAGTTGCCATGCTGGTAGCATGCTGCTTTTTTCAGCTCTTTTCCATTTCATATAAGGCCAACATTTGCAAATGACTAAAATATTAAATGACTAAATATCAGCTGGCATGGGTCAACACAATGCCAGCAGAATGATTACAAAGGTAATCTGGGATGATTGAGCAAAAAGTTCTGACTGGCATCAGACTGTAGAAAAAGTAGTTCAGATGTAATGATCTGTATTGAATAATCTTTAGTCATTATTGGAAGTCTGTGAATCAATAAATGAGCCTCCACAAACCTCTGCACTACCATATCTATAGGATGCAGGTATGGACTTTATGATCCTAGATAAAACAAAAACCAGACTGAAAAAATTCATCTGGTGCATATCGGCTGCATAACGCCATGAGAAAACGTTCATGTCTTGTCCTTCGTTCAACTATTAGCACGCTCCCTGGTTTGCAGAAAAACTAATTTATTGATTGTTTACTAGGGGTGGGCATTTAACACAATGTTTATCATGAGAAGTTATACAAATTTTGATTTATTGTTGTCACAATGGATTCCAATCAATATTTTTAACATAAACCAAACTCCATGTTGTCATTTTAGGACTTTCTCCACTGTTCAATGAGAATATCATTACATATCAATATATTTGAAAATATGATTAAATGTAGCTACTGTGTACAAATCACACTTCTTTATGTAATATTTATTGTGATTGTCACTTTCATTGTTATCACAAGAGCAGAGAATATTGTGATAAAACTTGAAGTCCATCTCGCCCACCCCGAGCAGGAACCTCACCGTATGCTGATGTTCAGATTGAATTGGCTACTGCTGTACTTTAGTGAGGCCTTTTTTTGTTCACAGCGTGTTTTATAATTCTGCCTTAATAGTCCAACAGAAACCTGAAATAGTGTTTCGGGAAGCTGCCTCAACACTGGAGCTCCTCTTAACACCCCACTGTGACCAGACCGGAGGCCTTTAGCACGGAGCGTTAGCATGGAGACACTTCAGTCGTCCAGTAGTGAGTGTGTATGCAGTCGCATGTTATCCCCAAGAAGTTTCTAAGTGACATCTGTTGGTCATTAATTGCTGTTATCTACACATATATGAAAGAAAAATCGTATTGTAAAGAGAATGAATGCCTGAGTGGAAAGTCAGTGATATTGTATGAAAAGATGACTTTTCACTTTTGTCATTTCAGAACTTTTATTGCAGCTTGCATTTGAAATTGTACAATAGTCACATATGAATATCTTTTTTTTTTTACTGGTACAACACTTGTGCAGGTACGTGTACACAGAATAAATCAGCCATCACCATTAAGACTGGATCCTCATGTTCCCCTCAGACACAATCAACACTCTGACTATGCTGTTACTGTGTCATGTGTCACTTTCATGTATGAATAATGTGGATTTCTGTCAGATCTATTAATAAAAAAAAAACAAAATGACTATCAGTAAACACTCCTCTGCTGTGTGTTGCATCCAGTGCGTAATAGTGTGACTGTTCCAGTGTTGAGCAAAGACACAAACTAATCGGACCATTGCTGGTCACCACCAACGAAAATATATATATATATATATATATATCTATATATATATATATATCTACATATATATATATATATATATATATATATATGCTCAGCATGTGACCCACAATAAGAGATAAAACCTGATAAACTAAGAGTTAAAGTATCTAACATTACCCAAAGTAGATTCAGATCCCAACTTAACAAAGAGTTTCAAAACAATAATCCTAGACGTCACACAGTAGTTCCTTCAGCTGTTAATTCTGTCCTGCTGGTGGAAGGAGGAATTACAGCTTGTTGTCGCTGTCACCTGCAGAGAAATGACACACACACACACCAAGGGTCATGATACTTGCTTTAGGAATATTGAGGTTTACAGAGTGGGATTGAAGATGAGTTGGATCTGCTCAGTTCAGCAAATTGTTTTTACAGCTTCAATACATTAATTAAACAATTCAGTCTATTTTTATAGGTTAGTTTCATAACAAAAAAAGTTATTTCAGGGCAGAGGTGGCACAGGGGTAATCGGCACAGCCATCAGGGGTTCGAGTCCTGGCCCTTTGACCTTTGCCACGTCTTCACTCTCACACAACATGCTTTCTTTTCATGTTTAATAAAAATCACTAGAGCCAGAAAAAATGTTTTAAAAGAAAGACATTTCAATCCAATCATGGATTCCCATTGGTTTTAGTTGTCAAACAGAACAGTATGCTCTGTTAATGATTCAAAGTTGTTTAAAAAGTTCATAAGGAAACCCAGCAGATTGCATTGAGTGAACGCTGAAATGTCTTTCAGCTGGAACGTCTTTCAGCTGAAATGTCTTTCAGCATCCTCTCCTTCAGAAGACAGTTGCTCATTATGTTGACGTTACAGAAATGCCTGACTGAGCATGAATGGAGCGACAGTGGAGAGGAGAAACTGACCTTTAACAGGAAGAAACCTGCAGCAGAACCAGAACCTGGCTCAGTACAAGCAGACATCTGACAAGACCAATTTTTAATAAGTTTATGGTTCCACCCACTCCTTTGAACATTTATTGTTATTGCATTGTTGGCACGTTCAATGAAGTAAAGTAAAGGTTTGAGGATCAAGAGCAGAGACATAAAGAAACAGATGTAGAAGTACTTTTTATGTTAATGAAAATTAAACATTAATAGAATGAGAATGTTTGGTCATAGGCAGCATCGCCCCCCTAATAAGAAAAACATTTTTGATGTTTCCTCCAGAATCTCCTCTCTCTCCCACATAGGCGTAACTTCCTGAAGGAAAGGACTGGTGTGGACATGTCCCCACCAACTCTGGCCTGACGAGGACAGTCCCCATATTTCCTGCTTCTTTCTTTTTCTTTATGTGCCAGTAACTCGGCAGCAGCTGGACGTTGTATTCAAAGCATTAATTAGTTAATGATTTTAAAATTGCTTTGTAAAACGTCAAATTTAAAGTCCACTCAGTGATCTAATGGACTGGACATCACATGACTTACTGCTCTGATGCTTTGCACTGAGTCAGGAATATCGGTGATCGAGAAAATTACACAGTCAAGCAAAGAATCTGAAAAAGTAAAGTTTGAATTGAAAACGATACGACAGCAAGACAACAAGGACCAAAGGGAAACACTTCACAGCTCGGTAAAAAGCTTTCATTAAAAATGTATATTAGAAAGTGGAGAGTAGGTTCACTATGCTAGCTTAACTTTAATCAACATGTACCCTCGCTATGCAGTTCAGAGTATTTCACTTCAATGAAGACAAAATAAGGTGAATTACACACATTTTCTGACAGATAATTATTAGTGCAGATATTTAAGTAGCTAATCAACCAGCGCGAGAGTTCAAACAATCACTTTGATGATTTTCCGGACTTTTTTGTGTGGGAAATGTTTTGTGGTTTTTTAATGTTAATTCCTGATGCACTTGAACGTATTGTTCGCTCTGCCCTATTGGTTGCCATGGCATCGTGCTATGGCTGACAGACTGTTTTTTTCCTCATTGCGTCAGCCTCCCATCCTCCTCGTTCCCACCAACTTGCAACACAAAGTTACACCTTTGCTTTCTCCAGTTTTTTCAGCTGTAGCTTCCATGTAGCCTCAGCTATTCAGTTTAAACACCACCTTGCAGATCCCAGTGGGCGTGGCTCTACAGAAAACTAGCATTAGAGGACCAAGTTGGAGAACTCTGACTTACTCTCAGCACAGGGGGATGTGTAGTCAGTGGCAGCCTGGTCAGCTGAAACAGGAGAGATGCATGAGTAAACACTGACAGAACACGCAGAACATGGTGGAGCAAAGGCAGTGAGGTGAGCTCTTACTCGGCTGGTAGTAATCATAGACTTTAATCACAGCTGGTTTCAGGTTCCTGACCCGCTGATCCTCCTCCAGAGTCACCTTGCATGTCTGCAGCTCGTCCTTTTTCAGCTGGAATCATAAACATTCCAAACTCTCACTTCCTGCACAGCAACACGGAAGGAAACGTAAAGGGGCCAAGAACACAGTGTGAGGGACACCCACCCCGTCCAGGTAAATGTTGAGGAATCCTTCGTCTGAATCCACGCGCTTCACTGATGGCTCGTTCTTCAGCTGCAGCAGAGCCAGCCGTCAGAATGCAGCTTCTTAGTTTTATAAGTCAAACAGGGAACTTACCAGCTGCAGGGAGCTCTGGTCCAGAACATATCCGGACAGCAGCTTGATGTTGATGATGACCATGTTGGTCTCCTCTCTCCTGCCCTGATACCTACAGGAAGTGACATCAAGCGTTTGTAAACCAGCTGCATTAAAGCGTCCAGCAGCGACCTGAAGACACTCCAGCTGCAGTACCTGACATGAACGGCCAGGTGGAGCTGTGGCCGGCTGAGCTTGCATTGGGGTTCGATGCACTTGGTGATGGTGAAGGATGAGAAGTCATCAGGAGGAGGAATGTTGTAATGAGCAGAGATCTGCAGAGAAACATTCAGAGCCTGAACTGAATTTCACATCATAACCACAAACACCAACAGACTTTAAATGTGATTACCATCACATTGTTTATAGATGTAATGATGGATGCTGAACATCTGGATCGATTCTAAAGTTGAGAGCTGACAATATGGCAACAAGATCACAACATGAAGCAAGCTAACAGAAAGAAAGCAGCGCTATTAGCAACAGCCTTTAGTGGAACGTTGACTGTTTGGGTCTGTAGCTGGAACTGAATGTTAAAGGTCTTTGCTCTGGAAGGTGAAGCTCCAGTGATCTTCATCCTCTAACAGATTTCCTCCCATCACTGTCCTGTATTTATCTCCATCCATCTTCTCATCAGGTCTGAGCAGCTTCCCTGTCTGTACTGCTAAATCCATCCCTACAGGACAACCTTGTGACCTTTAACCCCAGTGTGGGATCTGATCCCATGTGTGACGCAGCAGTACCTGAGTCAGCACACAGCTGTGTCCCTCGGCTCTGACGGTGTACTCTCCAGGAACCTCGCTCAGCTCTTCCTCCTGGTACAGCAGCCTGTTGCTCTGCGTCACCGTGAACTCCTTCCTCAAGCCGCCCAGGGACGTCACCGTCACCGTGGTGATTCCCTGCGGGCTGTACGTGGCTTCGGCGTACATGGCCAGAGCCTGGAGGGCCACCACCGTGTCCTGTTTAGCGGAGTGGTCAGGTGTTAGCTCTGGCCGCTGCAGGGCTGCGGTTCTACTGGAAGTGCTTACGATACCTGCGTGGAGAGGAAGCCGCCGTACGGGTTCTGCTGCTGAGCGAGCCAGCGGATGATGCCAGAGGTGTAGTCCAGACTGAAACCCTCCAGAGGAGGAGAGAGGAGGAGGCCCAGCAGCACGTAGGAGGTCATCTCCACTTCCACAGCGTCCAGGCCCGCATCAGAAGATCCAACTCGTTCCCAGTGAATAGTGCCACCTACCAGTCAGGATGTAGGAGAAACGACAAGATCAGCAGGTAACAAAACATGGACCAACAGTGTCTCCATCAAAAAGATCCACCTAGATAAAGTGGTGGGAAAATAATGGATAGAAAAAAATTACTTCAACTTGATTCTGTTCATCATTCTGCCTTCTTTATTAGAAAAAAAACTCTCAAATTGTTTTAAATCCAGTCTTCTTGCACTCTTTGAGGACGTCATCCAGGATTTGTTGTGTTCTCTCAGGTTCATCCACACCAGAAAGTCTAGTTTGTTTTAGGGGCAGATCAACTCAAAAAAGTGAACTTTGGTCTGTCTTCAAACCCAGGCTGAAGTGAAATGTGATGCGGTTAAAATGCCCATGTGAAAGCTAACAGACTGCTCCAAAAGGAGGAAGTGAACCAGAAAAATTGCAAAAGTTTAGCACAAGTAGTGAATGGCTCGTGGTCTATTGCCAAATATATAAGAAAAATTCTACAATCACTAAAATCTGATGCCACTCTATTTTTCATTAAAAATAGAGTGGCATCTTCAAACAGTAAGTTGCACTCAGTGCCTTTTCCAGAGGTTTCCTTTAGTAGTTCTTGGTGCAGCGCCACCACAGATGAGGAGGTAAACATTTTTTTCAAAGTGTTTGGTTGGTTTGACTCCAATCAAACTGAGTTTACTGGACTATCAGGTGTGAAAACACGCTTCTTCCTACCGTCCTGTTTGGCCTTCTGGTCCAGAATGGTGACGAGTTTGCTCCTCATCTCTTGATCTCCAGCCAGACTGAAGGTGTAGGTCATCAGGGCCATGGTGTACAGGTTGTCAAACTCCCTGGCCACAGCATCTTTCAGACAACTCAGGCCCTTCTGGACCACGGGGTCCTGACCCAAAGCAGCCAAACACAAGAAGACAGTTAGACTGAGCTGGAGTTCACCCGTCTCCTTTTCCTTCTACAGCGGCTGTCCCCTCTGCTGTGACAGCTTAGTGAGAAAAATGCACTGAAAACACCTTCAACTTCTCTAAATATCTCGTGAAAAAGTG